GTAACATCTCTCCCATCAAGGACCCTGACAGACTTCTGCAGGACGTGGACATCAACCGCTTGCGTGCTGTTGTTTTCCGCGATGTGGTGAGTGGTGTGTGGCTAGATATTTGGGTGGGTGGTCCCTGAAAGACAGTTAATGCTGGACCCTCTGTGCCCCCCCCCCCCGCAGGACGACAGCAAGCAGGCGCAGTTCCTGGCCCTGGCTGTCGTCTATTTCATCTCTGTCCTCATGGTGTCCAAGTACCGGGACATCCTGGAGCCGCAGAGGGAGACGGCCAGGGTGGGTGGCCAGCTGGCTCGGAACATCCGGCAGGAGATCAACTCCCCGACCAGCAAAGGTGTGCCTCTTGCTCCTCCAAACACCCCCACTACTGGGAGGAGGCGCGGTTATCAAGGATTTGAAGCTTCGATGGAAAAACAGATGTAAATATAGGTGCTCATCCTTTGTGATTCCTGACAGATCTGTCAGAGAAGCTCTCCCAGACTCAGCTGACAGCTTCCTGGCCAAAAGGAAAACACATTAGCGCCTGGGAGTCCCAGCGTGGGAGTCACACTCGGCCTCAGCCCTATGATTTATTCATAGGCTCATGTTAATTACAATGCATATAATTAAATTTCAAATAAGGTCAGATTAACATAAGTGTGCAAAGCCACAAGTATTTATACTCATACATAAATACATACATACATATATATACAAATCAAGAAGCTTGCACATTTCACCTTATGTCAGCATAATGATATATATTTTTGTATTGATTGTGATGTATATTGTGGAAACATGCAATGAAATTCTAAAATCTGAGTCTGAATGGATCTGGAGCATTAATTGGTGTGAAAGGACTAATTTCTGGTGGGGCTGTGGTTTAGGCACCATGGACATGCGGAAGGCGAGGGCGGGGCACCTAAAGGACCACACTGGGCTACAGGCAATGGGGGAAGAAGGGGATATAGGGGTGTGTGGGGTTAGGCAGGAGGCAGGAGGCAGGCAATGAGGCTGGGAGGGAACAGCAGGCTGAGAGCAGCAGATAGATGGAGGAGAGAGAGATAGCAGAGGTACAGGAGGGTGAGAGCAGCAGATAGACAGGGAAGAGAGAGAGAGACTGCGGGAACAGGAGGGTGAGAGCAGCAGATAGACAGGGAGGAGAGAGAGAGACTGGGGGAACAGGAGGGTGAGAGCAGCAGATAGACAGGGAGGAGAGAGAGGGACTGGGGGAACAGGAGGGTGAGAGAGACTGGGGTGGGAGAGAGTAAGAGAAAGGGAAGGTATGAGTAAGTGAGAGAGGCATGGAGGATGGGAGTTAGTGAGACATGGAGAGAGATGGGGAGGCAGAGAGGGAAGAGGCAGGAAGAGCACCCTGGTAAAGGTAGGCTGACAGAGGCATGCTGATAGAGACAGGCTGATAGAGGCAGATAGACAGAGGCAGGCTAACAGGCAGACAGGTAGGGGCAGTTTGACAGAGGCAGACTGATAGAGGCAGGCTGGCACGGTCATCTCTGCTTGGGGCACAAAGACTGCGCTGCTATTTCCAGCCTGCCTGTCAGTGGCGATTAGGAAGGCAATCCACCATAGGAGAATGGGCTCATATAAGAAGCACACTGCCCTCTTGGGCTGGTCAGAAAGGGCACATAACACGCCACATGACATGCCGCAGTGAATGTTGATTAAGCTGCCTTAGCTGCTGGCTGGGCCTGGAGTCACTCTGCTGCTTTTCACTGGGATTTACTCCAGGTATTTACATCTAAATTGTGATTGTGTTATCCGTGTGCCCATTTAGCAGAATGTATTTATACATTATTGGTCTTTCCCCAACGTCTACCTCCAAAAGCCCAGTAAGCCATTCTGACTACAGAGAAAATCCCACTGTGTATATGAATATGGAAGTTTAATTAAACTCTCCATGCACCTCTGCTATTGCGGCACCAACACTGCACCCCAGTGAATGTAAAACCAGCAAATATCTGCTTAAGTGACGGCTTTTACTGGCCTTCTACTCAGCATTTACCCTGCCTCCTGCCCTATGCTGCCAGTCCCTTTTCCCTCCAAGACCCTGACCAGCATAAGCAGTTGGACATGTGGTTGGCAGGTGGCATGATGGTTAAGGAATTATAACCAAAGATGGACATTTCAGATTCAGAAAGAAAAAATCCAGACGAAAATTTTATTTCAACCAACTTGTTGAGTATAAAGAGTCACAGAGTGCTTAACAAAATCTCGGTCTGGATTTTTTCTTTTTGAACACGAAATGTCCACCTCTGATTATTATTATGGGCGTCCCGGGGGGGCTTCTGCTGTGTAACCCTGAAGCACTCTAGTGAAACATCCAGCTGCACATGCCAGGAAATGCCTTGGATAAACCCCTGAGCAGCGGCACACTCTCACGTCGTTTCATCTGGCCTGTGGGAGTCCAGAGCAGATGGATGCAACTTTGCTCAAAACTTTCATTACTTCTGAAACTCATATTTTCCCCAGCCTAACAAATTAGAGCTGAACAACTGTTTTTTTGCCACTGATGTTTGTGCTTTTTATTTTAACTAAGCCAGAGGCTGCTTTCGAAGATGGTCCAGCAAAGCATAACCACATATAGAGCTTTATTTTAGCTGTTGTTTTACAATTCATTTCCTATTGCTGCAGTTAGTCTTGACACCCTCCAGGTAGTGCTCTGGCGGTGTCCTTTTCCACCTGGGAACCGCCGGGCAGTAAAAGAGAGGCATTCCTCTGACATTTGAAAATATGAATTTTGGAGGTGAAGATTGGGTAAAATATCCCAGTGAGTTGATTACCTTTGTTTGCAGTGGTTCAGGGGCAGCGTTCTTCTTGGGCTACAGCCTTGTGCAAATTTACTGAAACTAGTTGTCACACAGGTATGCATGCAGTGTCCTGGGACCTGCTGGTTTGCACAGCCAACAGGGCAGAGAGTGTGCTGAGTGGATGGACAGAGGAGGCACTGTGCCCACAGACTGGCAGGCCTGCTTAGGTGGGGTTAGAGCTGGGTGCTATTACTGTGCTTCAGCCATCCATGTATGTTTGAAATCAGTGCTCTGGGGTTCAGGTGCCTCCCATTGTGGTGTTTTCTCTGGGTTCTTTGGTTTCCCCCCACAGTCCAAAAACATACCGAGGTTAATTGGAGTTGCCATATACCTCCAAGGCATGAATGGTGTGTGTGCCCTGCAATGGATTGGTGCCCCATCCTGGGCTATTCCCATGCAATTTTTATCAATCCACTATAAATCCAGACCCAAGGTGATAAGTATGAATTAATGTGACTGTGATGTCCGTCGTACCTGTGGTCAATCTGTCTGCATATAGATGCAACAACTTGTAACAATTAATTTGCACAAGGGTGTAATTGGTCTTTTGAGTGACAGGAAGCAGAGGTGACATTTTGTCCCCCGGTGGCGGTTCTTGGGAAGGCAGCAAGGCTTCTGACGGTGGCGGTTGTGTCTGTCTCTCTGCCACAGAGAACCCCACCTCCTTTTCTGAGAGCACTAAGGAGCAGCCCATGCCCGAGGAGGACATGTCAGCCGAGGGCTCGCTGCCTCACACGGATTCCGGCCTCGGCGAGGAACACATGTCTGGGGTGCTGAACGGGACCGACCCGGAGGTGGGGCTCCTAATCTGCGGCCTCCCGGCCGAGGCACGGCATTCCCGCGAGAGCCTGGCCGAGCCGCCCGCCGCCGTGGCCACCGCCACCGCCGCTGAGGCCCTCAGGCCTGCTGCCTCCATCTCCAGCATCTCCCAGGCCAACAAGGGCATCAACGTGAAGGAGATTCTGAAGAGCCTGGTGGCAGCTCCTGTGGAGGGCCTTGAGGCGGGCCCCGAGCCCCTGCCCTACCCGGACCCCGCCGTGAAGAGGGAGGCGCAGGCTGCCCTCCCCATGCAGTTCCACTCCTTCGACAGGTCGGCACCCCCCCGTCACCACGGTAGCGCCCAGTGCGGCTAATAAGCCGGCTTGTAGCTGATCTGGTGCCGTCAGCTCAATTAACTGAATTAGACAGTGGGACGGAAATGTGTGGCATTGAGTACTGCGGCAAACCCCCCCCCCCCCCAACCTCCCCCCCAGAGCATCAGCAGCCATTGTGCCTGCATGTTACACCGTGTGGACATAGATCCATGACTGACAGCTAGAGCCTGAAACAGCTGACTGGCCATCACTCTGGAGCGCTTTATTAATATCTCATTATGGAGGGCTTCATAAAGTGCGGAGACCATTTCCCTCTGATGGGATACGTTCACTTTAGAGCCCAGCCGTAACTCCATATACGAACTTGTGTGCATCCACAGTCCACAGAATAAAGTGATTCCTGCTTAACTTAGCAAAATGTTACTTCTTAAAGTTTAAGGCAAATGTGATGGTTTGTATGTCATAAACATCCAGTGAATAGACACCCGTGCTTCTGACACATGTCCGGCTGGAGAAGCTGGGCTCTGACGTACTGGGGTGAGGCCCGGATTCACGCTCTGGGAGCAGATGGACCCCAGCGAATCTCCCAACACGTTAATCACACGTCTCTGAGGTCCCCCTGAGCTCCTTTAGGAACATTATCAGTATGCTTTAATGATGCCCCTTCCTGCCCAGAACCCTCGAAACTCTGCAGCTATTCACTAGTAGAGATTCCCCTGCATAAGGCTGTCTGATGTCTTATTTGTCACAATGCTGTCCATGGCATATATACATTTATCTTGTCATCTTGTCTCTGTTCACATACATCGGTGCTTAAATCTATGTCAGTCTTTCCTTTTTCCTGATTTACCTGCTGTGTTGCCACCGTTTGCTTTTTACTTTTCAGAGAAATCCTTAAAAATTCCCGGGAAACACACCCCCCTCTCCCCCCCTGCTCACGTTTGGTTTCAGACATTTTTATTTTCCTCCTGGAACTGAAATAGAGGCGAGGGAGCTGCAAAATGCCTCGGGGGAAGTGATGGGGGAGGCTTTGATCAAATGAGACGTGCCCCCCCCTCCCCTGCATGAAGAGCAGGTATCCAGCCGGTACCCCTGCCGTAATGTATGCAGGGCGGGCTGGAGATGATATTGATGAAGGGGATGTTGAGCGCTCGCTGGGGGGGTTGGGGTCTCGGGGGCGTTGATGACAGATTAAACAGCAGAGGCCTGGCACCGCCGCCCGGCTCCGCGTCTCGTCCTCCTGCTCACGGCCGTAATGGGAGCTGGCAGCTGGGAATGAGGCCCACCAGTGGCACTATTATTTTTGAGATGCTTCCATGTCTGGCCCCACCCATGCAGCTTAGCCCCGCCCCCTCCCCCGTTTTCATGTCCTTGCCACGTGACGATTGCACCGTCTAATTGTCCCCCACCTGCCAGGAGGAGGCACGACAGTGGCTGATGGGTGGGGGGGCTTCCGTCGCCTGTCAGGCTCTGCGCCGATTGGGAGCGACAGCATCAACCCCCCCCCACACCCTCAACCTTCCATTTCATGACTCTAATGTGTCTGAGGAGTGAGATTTGTCCTATATATGTTCCTCAGTCTATTTTTGGTTGACTTTCACAGTAGCTCTCTGTTCTTTAATACTCTAAATAGGCTTTCAGATTTGGCATAATGCTCTTGAAAACGGAGAGAGGTGCCCTTGTTTTAGATATATTGACTGATGTGTTGTGGTCATGGTGAACCAAATATGTTTTGGATCCCTTTTCTTCCTAGGAGTCTCCTTACAGTGACAGTTTTGTGTTTAATTTTGCATGTTATCCATGACTGGGGCTGAGATTTGGACCTTAAAAATGCCTGGGAGAGTTTTTGCTCTTATCTAGATCATGGCGCTCATTAATTTTTGGAAAGCCGTTGGGATCCCTGAGCTGGATCTCTCTGGCTGCTCGTCACTGGCATGTGGAGATTTAAAGAGCTGGAACCCGATTAATATTTATCTCAAGGCAAATCCTTGCTTTGTTCAAGGCAACTGAATTAAGACAATCCTATTAATAAAATATAAGATGAATAATCTATACATCTTTCATGAATGTTCTGCTAATTAATAATTCAGGCGTAGCGTTCCAGTGCCATCAACAGCCTTTATGTTACTCTGTTGGCCCGTTTAAAAGACAGATTTTCTCGGGAAGGCCATTTGCTGGAGTTTTTGTGTTTTTGTAGGCAAAATGGTCTTTAAAATAAATTCATCAGCTGTGTTTCCTGACCGTTCCCCCTCTCTGCAGTTTTTTTCGCCTCTGTACACCATTACTTTGACTTTTTTGTGACTATACATTAGCTTGTAAACAGTGGGTTTATACTGCTGATTGACGCTGTATATACAGCACTGTTTTCATTTTATGACTTCCCATGAAACTGTGCTGCTTCTTGGCCTAAAATATACTCCAGTTTTTATTTAAGCTCCTTTCTGACAGCAGACCCTTAAGATGGGAAACCACACAAAATTGGGATCCTACTGTGGTCATTCTGACAAGCATTTTTCACGATAGCTTAATTTGATTTCCTGTCTTCTACTCCCAAATAATCAGTAAAGACAAGTTTTCCAATGTCAGTTCAATAAACACTGAAACTCTTCCCAAAGAAATTAACCCTAAAAACATAATGATGAGATGCAGCCAGATGTACAGCGGGATTTCTGATGGTTGTGATGTGCTTGGCATTCTGTATAACAGACAAGACAGGCTTGTAAGTGGCTTGAAAACAAAAACCAAGAATTAGACAGGACCACAGCAGTCAGAAGTTGTGTGCAATTGAGGCAGGCATAGTTTTCTTGGTTTAACAGGAAATTGACTAAATTAGTTTTGTGTAGTGTTATTTGGGTCATGCATACTCATGTTGTGTGTGTGTGTGTGTGTGTGTGTGTGTGTATATATATATATATATAAATAAAGAGAGAGAAATTAATAGTATTTTGCCTGTTGTTTTACAGCTGTGGGCATGTTTATCTCCCGATAGCGATGTGACTGAGGTGTGACATCGTGTATCAGAAATCTGGGGGTGTGTGTCATAAACACACCCCCCGCAGGAGCCCGTGGGCGACGCTGATGATGCCATTCTCCGTTTTGGGCAGGAGCGTGGTGGTACCTGTGAAGAAGCCCCCCCCAGGGACCCTCTCGGTGAACACAACGGGCAACCCGGGGGCGTCGGCAGCTGCCGCCGCGGCGCTGGCTGCGGGGAGCACACCCAACATCTTCGCCGCCGCCTCCACCGCCACCTCCACCACCTCCGCTACGCCCAAGAGCATGATCAACACCACGGGTAGCGTAGCTCACCTGGAGCTGGGGATCGCTGACTGACCGCAGACTCCTCTCTGATGTTCCGGGAGATCTGTGCATGCTAGTCACATAAGCCATACTGAATAGCGTTTAAATAAATGCATTAGGAATCCTTTTCTGGGAGGGTTCCTTTCCAAGGATCCTTTTCAGTGACTCATTTATACAAACTGCTAAATTCTATTGGTTTTTCCTCTCATTTTTTTCTTTGATGTGTTTCTTAGGCATGAATGGTCTCTGTGTTTTCAGAGGGGCAAGCAGCAATGGATGGTCTTGCATTCGTCCTCTATTAGCTTCTTACTGCGGTTTGGTACTGTATAGATCATACCCCTACTGGTCAATTTACAGGAAGCTCAGCCTGGCCGAATATGTACCTAATTTGGCTCCCTGAATGTTGTACCTTTGTGATGCATTATCTTCCTTGCTTGTAAGTTGCTTTGGATATAAATATTTGCTAAATAGATAGACAAATGTGATATTACAAGTAGTCAAAGTATTATGATGGTGGTTGGGCAGTGACTGCTTCTTACCACTAGATGACAGTATTCTCTCCTCATTGCATTGCTGCATAAGGAGAAGCATATGTTGTGTGTATTTGTGTGCACACACACACACAAACACACACATACACACACACACAGAGTATGTGTAGTGATCTGTGAATACGACAGAAGTGACTGCCAAAGTTAAAGAAGTCATAGAGTTTTTATAATATTGTCAGGTCCCTAACATTCTGATTTGACTTGAGGGAAGACTCTCTTTTTTTAGCCTTTGAGTTCAGGAAGTAAACTGACTTTTTTTTCTTATACTATTTTAAACAAATTTGAATTTCTTGGACCAGGAGCGAGTGGAATAATTTGCGGTTGTCAGGACAATGTGTCCAGATCCTGCTTACATACTAATACATTTATAGTAAGTAAAAAAAAAAAACCTTTGATGGCACATTCTCTGATGCCAAGTACTAGAGCAGCACCGTGATTGGCATCTCTGCTTTAATATGGATGTGTAGGTAACCCCCTGAAGGGAGCTCTGACTGCGGATCTGTGACTCTCAGTGCCAGTCCCACTGCTTACGGGTGAAAGCCTCTGGCAGGGCAGTCCGTTCACGACAGGCGGCATTGTGGGAAATGTACCGTCGGAAAGCGGTCGGCCTCGTTTCCATCACATCTAGGAACTTGCCAGAGGCGCGGCCGGCCGGAGTCACACCCGAGGCTCCCCACCGCCATGGCTGCTGCCTCTCACTCTGCCACACCCTCCCAAGCATGTGCTCTTAAACCACGTCTGCTGTCTCTACTTTTCCGTCTCCAGCAGAGCCGCCAGTTCAGTAGCCTGATGGCAGCGTCCCGGATGTCTGATTAAAATAAGCATTACAGAGCACGCTGGTAGGGAAAACACTGCCAGGAGTATCAAGTCCAAAATGATGTTATTAATCTCAAATGAATTAAAACAGAAATAATCATCCCATTACCGTGCTGGCATGTTTTTAATGTAGTGTGGTAATTTGCAGAGTAGGGATATATTAGTCACTTATGATGTCATAAATGGGGGAAACCCTGAAGGAGCAGTCAGAGGGGAGGCCTGTGTTTGGGAGGGGCTGCTGAAGACTATCTATCTGTCTGTCTGTCTGTCCGTCCGCCCATCCTTCAACCACACCTCATGGTTTTGCAGATTCTTAAAGGCTGTAAACATTGTGATTTAGATACTTGCTTTGTAACCCTATATCGACTTCCCATAAGCATATGTTTGATATTTAATACACCCCCCCAAGTCAAAGACAACTCGCTTGACCTTCTCAAATCTCCCCTTCCATTTCTCAGGAGCGACAGATTCTGCCTCCTCTTCCTCCTCCTCATCCTCTAGTTTCGTCAACGGTGCCACCAGTAAGAACCTGCCAGCGGTGCAGACGGTGGCCCCCATGCCGGAGGACACCATGGAAAACATGAGGTAAGCCTGTTGTGGGGACCCCGGCCGAGCCCCACCCACCCCTGTCCGCAGATGCACAGTCATGGTGTAGTTGATGTCCCTGCCACCAGGGAGCATCAAGCCACACTCCTCCCTCATCACCTTCAAACCTTTTTTGGCAGCCGGGTCCCTTTCTGTTCAGAGCTACTGGCCTTTAGTTGCCGACTTCTGCAGAGATGGTGCAGGGCTGTGTAGGATGTTTGAAGGACGGAGTAGCTTTTAACCGTTAGCGGCGAGGCGCAAATGATAATGATTAAGAATCACAGTGATTCCGGCAGTGAGGCCTAGTGGACGGGGTAGATGTAACCTTGAGCCCCCAGACCTCCCATCGTCTAATGGGCCATGACAGACCCCCCCGCCCATCCCTGCCTCCTGTCTCCCCATTCCTGGATGCTGACAAGCTCTGCGAGCCCCTTTCGGGGAGTGCGGCTCTCTTATAAGGCATCACAAATCGGTTGCCATGGCAGCCGTAACCAGCCCCACTTACCGTGACCGTGGAGTCAATGATGAAACTGTCTCGTCTGGGAACAGAGCTTGGTGAGAGCCCCCCCTCACAGCCTGCCCCCCCCCCTTTCCCCTTGCTTCTGCCACACATGTGGGGAGTGGCATGTCACATCCGTGAGTGCCGGTGTCACCCGGATCATCCCCCCGGCTGTCATCGCCCCTGTCCGACTGGGCAGTGCTGATGCTTGCACCCCTTGTTTCCATATGAGGCCACTGCTAGAGGCGTGAGCTGGTATCGCAGATGGAAGTTCCTGCACCACACTTCCAGTTGCATCCTGCTCCTGTGACTTCACTGTTTGTTCACAGAATCTCTTGTGCAGTGCCACCTTGCACTGATAGCTGATCACCTTCTACAGCTTAACAGCTCCATGCTAGTCTTTGGGATTCAGGCTGAGCTGGTCCCCAGGACAGGGCCTGTCACCAGCTAGGTTGACTTGATCCTTTGCCCTTGTGATACAGTGCAAACCAAAAGCTCACGTGTGTGTGGAGATTCTGCCCTCAGGGCTGGAGCTGTGGGAAGAGTGGGTTGGCCTAAAAGAACATGCTCTCTCTGTGCACCAATCAGGCAAAAGCTTATTGGAGCCTGAGTGTTGCCCAGAGACGCTGCCCCCCTGTCCCCGTCATCAGCCCCCAGTCCAAAAGCTCGATGGTGGGGTGCTTGCTGTTCTGAAAATACACACCGTCTTCAGACTGCTGGGTGTCATAGCAGCTCATTTGCTCACTGTTGTCCCCCCCCCCCCCCCGTGCAGCATCACCACCAAGCTGGAACGCGCCCTGGAGAAGGTGGCCCCCCTATTAAGGGAGATCTTCGTGGACTTTGCACCCTTCCTGTCACGCACTCTGCTGGGCAGCCACGGCCAGGAGCTGCTCATTGAAGGTACAGGTGCTGTAAGCCGCTTCCTCTCTCTCTATCTGGCCCCCCTGTCTGCGTCCGGCTGCCCTGTCTGCCGAGAAGCAGATCTGAAGAGAGCCTAGCTGGCCCCAGCGCAGGATTTCCCAGAATCCCCCTAAACTTCACCCCCAACCTGTTTGCCTCGCTAATTAAATCAACCTCCTTGTCATCTCCACCTCCATGTCTATCTCTATCGGTGTGGCCCAGGTGAGTCCCTCCCCTTACGGTCTGCTCAGTGGTGCATTCCGGGCTGTTATCGGACGATCTTCCGCAGATTTGTGCTTGACCCCACGGGGCTTTTGGGCACCCCACCCTCAAACTCTACCGTTAAGAGACACCCTCCACCCTCGGTCCAGCGGTTACCTCTCCCATCCGCAGCATCGACGGCGTCGTACTGGACGTCCTCAGTGCCTGAGACTGTGGTATCTCACAGAGATGTTTTTCCCAGGACACACAGCACCGTGTTCTGCTTTGTGCTTCCACTCACAGGCATGGTAGCCCTATTTTTTCACTCTCCCTCTTCTTGGTGTCATTTGGAAAGAGTCGCCGGGTTTGGCGAGCAGTCTGATGGCAGTTCAGCCTGCCTGTGCACTTCCTGACAGCACATGCGGAGAGATACTCGCTCTTCAGTCAGCGTGAGCCAGACGCAGGAAGGCGGAATGTTCTGAGTACAGGCAGCTTGCGACTTACGTAGAACCGCACGCCGCCAAGGCGCTATTCTGCTGCCGATGAAACTTGGCAAACCTGCCGGTACAGATTAGTGGGATGACATTGCATAGTTTTTATTCTGTGGAAAAGGAAAGATCAATCTGTGGGCCAGATTTAAAAATGAATTATAAGCATGTCACAGGCCGGTGCTTTGAGACCTCTGAGTGGTGAATGAGCCGACGAAATCCTTAGTCCTCCACTACGGAATACATCTGGTTGTCCAATGCAGTCATCTCCATTTTTGTAGTAGTTGTGTCTTCAACTCAGATGTTGCTACTTTTGCACTGCTACTTTGCACATCTACCTGCAGCATGTGAACATGAGAGCGTGCAACCCGGAAGTAGGAGAATCTTTATTTCACTGGCTAAAATCCATTCTGATGTTACAGATCAATGGATTGAATCTGTACCTTAATAATCAATTCATCACGATACATCAGTGCATCTTTACACCCCTAGTTGGTGCCCCCATCCTCAGTGATTGGCTGTCTTGTGAACATTGCGCCAGGGATAGGCTCCGAACCCTCGTGACCCTGCATAGACTAAGTGGGTATGGGAAAGGCCTGGATGGGTTTGGGCGGGTAAATCCGACTAAAGTAAAATTTGGTTTGTGGAACAGATTACTTAGAGGAGGTTCTTGAACTACATATTTGTTGGTTTGTTATTTATTTGTTAAACCTGCAATATGTTCAAGCAAAATTGAGCAGTAAAGTGCAGATTTATTGCAGAACCTCTAAAGCTGAGAAGCCCCTACACTCCCACTTGCCTGCGGTGAGGTTACATCATGTAACGTGTTTTCTGACAGGCGGGACCTGGCATGTTCTAAGCGGACCTTACGCTGTGTTTTCGATGTTGGCTTCGAAATCCAGACAGCTGAGAAATCACCTGCGTGGACAACTGATGTTTGTAACCCCACACAAGCATCCCTGGGGACACCTGCTAGGCTTTGGTCCGCTCTGTCTCAGAGCCCCTCCGTGTTGTAGTCTTGGATCAGGACCCTGTCAGCATGGTGAAAGTGAAAATGAGAGACTGGGGGCTGGCTGCGAGGGGTGGGGGGTGCATACTGAGGACCCATTGTTTCCCCACGCATCTCTGAACTCTGCTAAAATGTAACGCTGTGGCATGGGGGGGGTGTCCCATTTAGCGATAATTACCCCACTGCCCATTCCACGCTTGGGTTAGCAGGGGTCATGCCCTTTTCCCCCCTGCCTGTCGCCCCCGTCGGACATGTAGCCGAGGTCCCATCCTGAAGCAGGCAGAGCCGTGAACACTGGCCTCGTTGTGGGGGGCCCGTGAGGTCACTTCCTGATGTGGCTCCCAGACCCGCCCACCAGCATGCACCAGAATAGGGGCATTTATTTTAACCCGTCAGAGCCGAAGAAGGCTGACCCGCCCCCCATCCTGCCCCTGAGCGGCAGTGTCAGAGGGCAGCTGACTTATCGGCTGCCCTGCAGGTGGGAGGACAGGAAGTGGGCTATTTGGCGGGGGGGAGTCGTGTCCTCCTGCACATGTGCGCGGTAACCCCCGTCATGTGTGAATGGATCGAGCCATTCCTCACTTAACAACAGGAGCAGCAGACAAACTCCCGCACACAAGGCGTCCGCAGGGTCCCATGCGTTTGGGACCAAGGTGAACTAGAGTCGTGAATATCGGATCAGCACCGTGGGAATTGGGGGGTCCGAAATCGCCAGCCGATGGGAACTGCAACCTGTTCGCTGCATGCCATCGGCTTGTGTAAGGTCTGGTTGAAGGACAGCACTCCCTCCTTCAGAACGCACCACCATTTTGGGGTGCGGGGTCACTCTTTCCCCCTTTCTCCACCAACCATCTTCACGTTTGTTACACCCCGTATCCCCTGGCTGATTGATGCGTTTTGCTTTCATCCTTAAAACCATGGCAACAAGCCACTCCCTCAGCACAGGGGGGAAAAAAATAGCACCGCGGCAACACCCTGCAGCACATCGACTATAATGAGCCCCCCCCCCCCCCGGCGCCCGCGCTGGCACTCAGGGGAGCCGCCATGTCATTAATGCTCGCTGAGGAATATCGAGGTGGACATCGGCGTCGCCACCAGCAACATCACGAATAAGCTTTTCACACCTGCTTCTCTTCTCGTTATGTCACCGTCTGCGTGTGTGTGAAAGCATGCATACATGCATGTCTGACTTACCCATCTAGTGATGCAATATAACACTCCTGTGCGCCACTCAAGCCGTTGGCCTCTCTCTGTGTATGTTCTGTATATACAGTATATATATATATATGTATACTGTCTGCGTGTGTATGTTCTCTATATATACTGTGTATGTGTGTGTTATGTGTCTGTATGACTGAGGCTGCATGACTGATCAACCAGTAGTTTGTGGCTGCTTTTTCAGTAAGCATGGGCCATATTTTACATATATATCCATATGCTGTGTCCTTTTTGGTAGGCACAGTACATAATGCTTATACAATATATACCGTAGGCGAAAAATCAGAGACAGCTGGTAACTGGCTTTCCACTGGAAAATCTAAATGGCAAAAAAGCTTTATACCATATTCTAAAAGGCATTAAAATATTTTATGGCAACCAAGGAATCCAGTGCACAGTAATATTGCGTACCTGTGTGCAAATTGAATTGGTTTATGCCAAAATGTGGCTCACGAGACCACAGAGCTTTGTGAACTGCTGCATTACAATGAGTGGATTATGGCTTTCCTCACAAAAATCAGCCAGTCTTGTTGATGAAAAGCCCAGTCTCTAGCTATCAGTTTGACAGGGATATCACAATAAATTCTGATCTACTATCTAGGTGAATCTATTGTCTAACTTGTGTGGAACAGATCTTTTAAAGTATTAGAGCTACATTTATGCAAACATATAGGACTTTATCTGCCACTGGTTTAGCAGTATTACCCTGACTCAGCATCCCTTGGAGTTACATGTGAGAGTACATGTGAGAGTACATGTGAGAGTACATGTGAGAGTATGGGCCCATTAGTCCCATTGTGCTGGCCAAAGTTCCATTGACGCTCTATCAGAAAGGCACGGCTATCCAGCATACCAAGCAGGCAAATGATTCGTCACCTCCTCAGCCAATCAGGCCTTAAAATGAACACCAGAGAGGTGTATGGATCCCGCCAGTGGCATACAGTGTTTGATTTCCTGTGCACTGTTAAAAAATGTACTTGTAAACCAAAAAAGAAACCTTGACTTTTGTGTGTGAAGATGGTAGCATCAGACATACTGATCCTGACGTGACCTGATCTTTACATACCCTGTGACCTTCAGAGCCTCACACTGGATGGCTACTTCACTGGAACTGTGTCATGTTATTGTGTGGAAAATGCTGCTTGTGTCAAATGTAAAGGTTATTGTCGTCTCATGTGTGAATGTAAATCTGTATTCCCCTTTATATTCAAATGTGCTTTTAAAGTCAAAGGAAACATTTCCCCAATGATGAGTTGTATCTCCTAAGTGGAGAAAATTTCTATAGGTCTGTTAGATCTATTACTTTCTGATCCTTGTCCTGGCCCCAAAATTCTGGAATTCAGATTATCCATTCAGTGTACAGTCCAGTACCATACCGTACACTAGTACCCTCTCGTGTGACAGCCCAGTTCTTAACTCTGTTCCCAGTTGTCCTCTTCTGTCTTTCTTGGCTGGCTATCTGTCAGCTCAGTATGTCTTTGAAGGTGTGTTGTTATGGGTAAGCAAGCACGTGTGTGTGTGTGTGTGTGTGTGTGTGTGTGTGTGTGTGTGTGTGTGTGCGCATGTCGTGACCCTCACCTGTGCTCTGTGTCCCTGCAGGTCTGGTGTGCATGAAGTCCAGCACGTCTGTGGTGGAGCTGGTCATGCTTCTCTGCTCACAGGTGGGACTTCGCTCTGATCCAAGCCCTGACATTCCCTCCCCAACTCAGCTTCTAACTCTTACTTCGTGCGGGACACTTTATTCCAGCTAAGCAACTGAGACTCTGAACGGCTCAGGTCACTTTATGTCAAACTAAGTGTTTGAAGACCAATTTTTTCACTTTGAGTAACAAATTTGTGTAAAGACAAAGTCTTGAATAACAAAATCTTTAAAAAATTACTTATTAGATATTTATTTAATTGATCATATGTAACCATGTTTAAATAAGAAGAGGTTTGTTTGTGTAAATGGGCCCTGCATATACTCTAATAATTCAAGAAACAATTAAGACTCAGTGGGAACAAAGGCCAACATTTGCAGTCAAATAGCAGGAAGGTTTTTGGAAACCCTGTCCTAGAATATCATTGCTAAGATCAGATCATGGTGCCACATGGCATGATGGGATATATAGTCTACCGGCCATTGCTGAGGACTACAGATGCATTACAGACTTACGGACATTGATCGGCAATATCAAATTACCAGTACCTTTAACACTGGCATAATTTGGATGCGAATCGAGGTTCACTGTAGCTATGCTACTGCACCCTTACACTGGCTGTTGATAGCTGTAGCAGTTGCAATTATGCAGCTGATGGAAACACAAGGACATAGTCGCATTTGGCCAGACACTCTTACAACAAGCATCTGGTGCTGCTGTCTTGTGTTGCTTATTGCATGTAATGCAAAGGAAAGCCAAGCATTATTCAATAGAACTTCTGCTGGAGGCAACAAAACAGCGTTCCCGCACTTCTCATAGTCGCCCCTGATCCAACCATAAACCAGAATAAACAATAAATAATAAACAATGCATGCATATATACCTGATTTTGAAATGGTTTCTCAGCTCTATGCCGCCATAGTGAACTGCTATGCACGAATGATTGCATTGAGAAACAGAAACAGTCCCACAGAAAGGGCAATTCCTAGCCAACTGACAAACCTGTCGCAGACTGTCTCAGTGTGTCTGACCCATAGCGCGAGCCCCGGCTCTCCGCCCAGGCTGGAGACGCACAGACGGGTGAAGGCGCCCCTGCCCTGTGAGGTGCCCAAAACACCGCTGGCCCGGCATGAGAGCAGCTGGAGGAAATACGTGACATACCTGCTGTAGGACCCATGAGAGAGGCATTAGGGGCTGCGTGCAACGAAGGGACGCAAGCCCCCCCCCCCCCCCGGGGTGACCAAGGTCAGCGCCCCCCCCCCCCCGGAGGGGGCGACATCCAAAGGGGAAGATCCGCGGCAGCTTGGGTTCCTGCATGGCTGTCCACATGTACACTCAAGCTCCCCCCCCCACACGCAGAGCAGTGTCTCCACAATGCTGTCTGCTCCCGGCTCTTGGATGTACTGCAGCACGGACCCCTCGCCCCGTCCCTAATCGCGGGGATAGCGTTACCGAGGCTGCCAGGGTTCCTGCCATTAGCCACCTCTGGGACGAAACCCTGTCCGGCTTATTGATCGCCGGCAATGGGAGTGAAATCAGAGATTGGGGGTGATGTCTTTGTGGAGGCTGACTGGGGCCAGCCTTCCTGGGCTGATCCCATCAGTCCCAGTGCTGGTAGCAGCACTGACCTCCCTGGGAGAGCCCTAGAGCACAAGGGCACCTGTCAGCGCAAAAAAGGGAAATGCCTGCAGGTCTGTGTGGCGTGTGCCTCGGGAGGCAGGGAGGCCATCGGTGCTGCTCTACCGGCCGATGGAGAGCCGTGCTGTTCCTGCAGGCATCACCAGCAGCAAAGTCATCAGCCTCGCAGCACCCAGTCATAACGCCAGTCGCATTACTGCATTTTGTGCAGGTATTACTGGGTGACATGGGTGGGGCACTGCTTGGCTCACACCCAAAAGTTGGGACATCAAATGTCTCCGCTTTGTGTGTCTGGAGTTTGCATGCTCCTCCAGTGTCTTACAGGCTTACTTCATGTGCTCTGACTTCCTTGCTTTTAGGCTAACTGGCATCTCTGAACTGCCCATACTGTGTGATTGTGTGTGTGCTCTGTGATGGACTGGCATCCCATCCGGTGCGTCCCCTGCCTTGTGTCCTGTGA